AACCATTTACTGATTAAATAGTGAATGATACTGGGGTAGGAATCTAGCAAGCAGTAAGTCATTGATGGTTTTGTTATTGCGTTCATTCATTCATTCACTCGTGTACTCAACAAGAAGTCCTGATCCCCTGCTGTACACCAGGCACTGTTCTAGACACTGGACGTTCACAGCAGTGATCAAGGCAAAGTCCTCGCTCTGAAGGAACATTGTGGGAGCCCATGATTGGGTTAACAAATTGTAACAGACCCCAGCCACTTGTCTCCTTAAAGAAGAACAAATGTGCTTAGTAAATGCTTTGCAAGCAGGCTCCTGTGCGTCCTGTCTCCTAGCCGTAAAAAGCAGAGACAATGCCTTGCTTGCATAGTTGAGGTTTTAGATAACACTGCTGGTTGCAAAGGAACGACCCAGGCCCTCAGCTATAAATGCTGAGCGTGCCTGCTGTTAATAGTCTTTTATCCCCCAAACTAGGAACTGGCTGGTCTGGTGGTCCACTTTGTAATTAACATATCTAAAGAATGTACCTTGTCGCCCTCTCCTCATATCTTCCCTAAAGATACACTAAGCCTTTGTAGTCACTGTGACTTCTACAGTCTCCATCCCACCCTGTCCTTCCCTAAATTCCTGCATCCCGTCACACAACTTTTTAGTGATTTTTCCTTTGATCGTACACAATAAATGTGGGAGCATTTGAGAGGCTCGTGGAGTTGGCTCCCGACACCCTCTTGCTCTCCTGACTTTTTCCACAGAGTCTCGGCTAATTCATTCCATCTCAGTGGGACTTCTGCCGGCCAGAACCCACAGAACACGTTCTAAAAGGGGTGGCATCCCACCAACAAAGCAGGGAGAGAACACCCAGAAGTGGTCGCTGTGGCGTGGGGACGTGAGCCCAGCGAGAGCCGGCCCCGCAGGGGAGGGGGTCCCCTGGCGGGCGCTGCAGATGCAGAGTTGCAGCCAAGGCCAGGAGCGCGGTGCCGAAGCGCCGACAGGACAGGAGAGAAATACCCCAGCCACTCTCTTCTGCCCTCTGACCTCTCTGACGCCTCTCATCGGACAAGCAGAACCTCTCGGCCCAAGAGTCTGAGTCCGGGTGACGCAGTCCCTGCGGGTCAGCCTCCCAGAGCACAGAGCAGGGCAGAGACAGAGCAGGATCAGAAGCCAAATGTTCTCAGCTCTACCCCATCTGAGCTCCTTGAGTGCAGCTCCAAGCTGGCTTTCCCTTTCTCTTCCCCACAGGACCCAGGGAACAGAACACTTGGCAAGAAGCAAATGCTTATTAATTTAATTGCTCCTTGTAGGATTGGCTCTGTCTGATCTCAGCGTGTGCTTCAGGCATCAGAGTCATCCCATGGGGACTCTGGCTCTTCTCTGTCCCTGGGGAAACATAGCATCTTGTTCACGATGGTTTTACAGCAGCCTGCTTGGTGCAAGTTCAAGACCAGTGAACATTTGCTAAACAAGGATTCTTTTTGCATTCAGAACTTTGTTACTCATATGCAGAATTGTGATAGAATAAAACATTTCTCAACGTCCATCTCTGCAATAGATGGAAAGTTTCATAAAGGTTAAGGAAGAAGACTTAGGGGACAGACTACAACCATTTTAATTTCCTTCTCCCTCTCTCCCTAAGGGGGCCTCTCTTGCGATGGTGATTAAGAATTGATGCATCAGGTGTGGAGAGATAAATTAGGAGTTTGGGACTAACAGATACACACTACTGTATGTAAAGTAGATAAACAACAAGGACCTACTATACAGCACAGGGAACTATATTCAGTATCTTGTAATAACCTATAATAGAAAAGAATCTGAAAGAAAAGTCCATATATGTATAACTGAATCCCTTTGCTGTAAACCTGAAACTAACATTGTAAATCAACTATACTTCAATAACATTTTTTAAAAAGAAGTATAAAATTACAAAAAGAATCTTAAAAAGAATGTAACTGAATCACTTTGCTGTACACCTGAAACTAACACAAAAAGAGAAAAGAAGAATCGACGCATGTAATTCTTTCCTCTCGTAGGCTGTACATAATGTGTCCTCTTCCCCCCCAAAACCATCATAGACTGGGAACCTTCTTGTACAGCCGGAATGAGAGGAGTTTAGTCACAGATGTATAATTTACAGTCAATATTGTCTCAGAAGAGGTAAAAATCAAGAAGAGGTTAGAGCATTCTAGAAACAGAGGGACAGGGAGACCCAGGGAGGGACAGGTGAGGGGGGCAATTCTGGTATTAGATGGGTTTCCATGAGATTTATGCAAATCCTCAACGTTTAGCAGAACACATGTCATGTGCGCTGTAGCCCTGTAGGGGCCCTGAACTGAGAAAAGGCTGCAGGCGTTGTCAGGGAAAGAGCAAGGGGTAAGAGGGGAGCTGAGTGCAGGCGAGGGGCTGGGGAGGCGAGCGCGGCTGTGGTGTGAGCAGGTGCCGAGGGGGCGTGCGAGGGGAGGCGGTTTGCCTGGGAAGCGCCTTGCTCAGTGGGCAAGCCGGGAGCGAGAGGAGAGCTGGGGCTTCCAAAACCTGATCATCCATTGTGCAGAGACACTGCTGTAGGGAAACTTTCCTTTTTCCTCCTGGGCTCATGGGAGGACTGCTTTCCCCAACTCCCTTGCGACTGGGTAGGACCACATGCCTACTTCTGGCCAAAGTGATGCAGTGAAGGGACATGAATCGCTTCCACACCTGACCCACCAAAGATACAGCCTGCTCGGTTTCCTCTTCTAATTGAGGGTAAAGGCGTCCCCAAGATGGAAAGAGAATTTCCGAACGTGGAGCCTGTGGTGAGGACCTAAATGGGAGCACAAGGTGAAGACAGCCAGGTGGAGGGCGAAGGTCCTCCGTTTGTATCACTGGACCGTCCCTCCTCTGGGTACATGCTGCGATGGGGGATGGGGCTGGAGGGGGAGAAATGTTTGGTACTGTCATCAAGGTCTTGCTTCTTCCCCTTTGGTATGTCACCCCTTCTGGGCTAAATAACGGTCATCTAAAAGGACCATCTTTTTGAAGATTGCAGTCAATTTACAGCTGTGATGGAGCATCAAGGCGAAGTCTGAATGGGAGATTCTCCAGGATGAGTCAGGCGTTTCCCTGAGAGGGATGAGGGAAGAAGCCACCTGGGGTCTTCAGACTAATCAGAAGCTGCTGTGTCCGTCCAGAGGCTCAGGGAAAGTGCCTCCCCGTCCGCACCACTCCCTAAGGAGCAGGTCTGGTCTGAAGCTGGGTGGAAGGTTGGTGTTACATGGGGAGTAATGCATTCCACACCTACATTCACCGACTGACTGTGAATGTGGCCAGGAGGGAAAGCAAAGAGGCCAACCGAGCAGGGTGTTTCCAGGGGCCGCAGATCAGATCTCCTCTCTCCCTCAAGGCCTATTCCCTGTCCTGAAGTGGACCTTCTCCTGTGCTTCCACACCACCTTGATGGGAGGGAAGCCGGCAGTTGGGTTTGAAGATCTTTTCACCTCTAGTCTTTCTCCCAAGCTTACCAAGTACAGCATGTGCAAAATGGTTATTCCTTAGACACACAAAGGCATTACTTCAGTGTCATGAAATAATTCCACGTGTGTCGTGAACTAGATTGCTGCTATGTGAATGCAGGAGGGAATGTAACCCCAAAGGGAAGTTCAAAGAAAACCTGAAGGAACTCTGGGGCCCCTGAATCAGATCCTCAAAACTGGGCTTTTGTTTCTGTTTGGAGGCCAATCCAATCTCTTTACGTGGTCATGTGGCTTGGAGACGTTTAAGAAAAAGTATCACTGACATTTAGAATTTTCTAGAAATAATGAAGATGGCCTCAAGTGACTAACTCAGGCCAGAGGCTCAGCATCGCAGGCTGGCTACGTTTCATTTGCTCATTTGGACGCTGAGGTGGAAGAGGGAGACCGTGAGGGTTGGTCTGTACAGCAACACAGTTTCAGGTTCTAAAAAGTGGTTTCATGGCAAACGATGACCCCGACTCTGTACCAGGTTGGCTGTGGTCAGGGTGGAACCGAGACCAGAGACCACACCTGATCTACACGCCTTCTCTGTCATCAGGACCGAGAGGCAGACCGAGGCTTTTGTCTGAGTTACAAAGCAAGTCACTATGGATGTTTTATACTTTTTTTCCCATTAATCTTCAAGTTATTAGAACAGCTTTTCAATTATTTGTCATTTCTTTTTTTGTTGGGTTTTGTTGAGGTGAGTCATCATGAAAACTCAATAGAGAGGGAAAAAAAGCCCGCGAACCCCACCCTACCAACCATCCCAGAAAAGACACTTCAGAACTGCCCACATTCGATCCCTAAGTCCTTCCTGAATACAGCTTTATTGATGGTGAGGAGGTTACAAACACGACATTTCTTTTAGTTTGTTGTTGCTTCCGTAGTGCAAGAATGTTTAAAGCAACCAAAGAACTAGCCAAAATTTGCTGAATAAATACGGAGATTTTTAAGGAGTATTCAAGACAGGGATTTTATTTCAAATACCCCGAGAGGGACATTTAAATGGTCTTTACCCTCGGAATGTGCTGGAGGGTACATCGTGAATATTTGAGAATCTTTAGTTCTCATAATTACCATGGAGGAGTGTTCAGGAACCTAGCTGTTGTTTTTGAAGTAAGAGAAGAAATACTGAAAAATCAGTCGTTTGAATGCCGCCATGTGCTAGAGAGACTGTCCATCAGTTACTGGGGTAGATGGGGTCGTAGCTCCTTCAGAGAAGACTCGTTCGGAGGAGAATTCAGAAGCATCATCAGAGTAGATTACATAAATTCATTTCTTTGTAACTCGGGGAAAATAGTAATTAAATGAAATGATTTTTTACTTAGTCACTCGGATGAATTCTGAAGATATTTGGCCAGGAGAACCAGCCAAAAAAAAAAAAAATGAACCTATCAAAATTTACATATTTCCAGGCAAACCTCTATTTACACACCTGTTTGTACAATGCACTTCCTATAACTGCTGCTCTGCCTTAGATTACAGTACCATCCAGCACATCCTCACATCCTTATTGCCTCAGTCATACCTGCTCGCTCATAACACCCGGCTGCCATCTGATCCTTGTTTAGAATTATATTCATCTGCACCAGCAATGACCTTCGATTCATAACCATTCTTACAACATGGGAAGTAAAACTAAAACGCTACCAGCGCCACTAAAAGCAACTAGTTAGTGCATTAGGGATGATAACTTGGCACCAAGGGCCTAACTGAAAACGGACAGACTACATGACAGTCTGGCTACCTGGACACTTTCACACCAGGTCTCTGGCCCTTTCAGAGAAAAAGAGCTTGAGTTTTATTATTCTGCTGGGTCACATGTTATTTCTTGGATACGCCGAACCTGTATTTTTATTTAATCACAGGACTCTGGTCTTACAAAAATAACAAGCCCTTTTCTTTGAGAAAAATACAAGGAGGTACAGGGTTGGATCCTAAGACTTGGGACTGTGACTGAATGTAAACTTAAAACGTAATAAAAAAAACGAAGTAAGTTTTTTCAGCTGGAAAACATGGAGAAATCGCCACATTTTCCAGGAACAACTGCTTCAACAGCGGGGTCAAAGAGTGCATTTCACTTCCTTGTGGAAGATTACAGACATGACTTTGATTCCGGATCTTTTCATGTCTTTCAGTTATTTGTGCAGGATGTTCCAGGATGAAAATCTTTCACCAACCCTTAGGTTCCATGATCCCTACCAATCTGTCATTTGAGAAATTCTGAAATTCCAAATTCATGTTGGTCTTGGTTTATTGACCTAACTGTTGAAGCAGGAGATGTAACAGCAGTGCTCCCGGGAACCTGGGTAGCCCAGATATTTGCTCTGAGACTTCAGATAACCCATGTAGAACATACAGTAAACTGTCATTTCGAATGATTTACCTAGATCTAACACATCTCCAGGTTCACCTCCAGAAAGCCGCTGCCAAGTTTTTGCACACCGTATTTTAGCAAACTCTGATGGATGAAAAATTCTCTCATTTCAGCATCGTTCCTCCTTCGTCCATGATAAAATGTAACAACGGATGAATTTTTATTTCATTCCAGCCTTAGGTCCTCTACTTCACAAGACTTCTAGGATCTCAACGGGAGACGCAGCTATGGGTGAGCATCAAGAAATTATGTCTATCTGCCCACGTATGATCAGTAACCCATAATACATCACTTTTTTTCTCTTGCAATTAACAATATGCTATCGGCTTCTCAATTGTATGAAAATATGTATTTGTACCAGACTAAAAGATGTCACGATCACCCTCATGTAGGCTTTGGAAGTCGTGGCCAAAATAACTTATTAAAAACGAGAAGTTAATTTTACTGGTGGTGCTGCAGGGAGAAAGTCTACGTTAGGTCGTACATTGGTGACTTGAGAGCTCAGTGATGTAACTTGCTCCACAAACTAGTTTCTCATGCAGCTTTATTTTTCGGCCTGGGCCAATAAAGAATCAAGAAACAGATCTGCTCTGCACTTGGAGAGGCTCCTCATGCCTTGCATGGGGTGAGGAACCAGCCCAGAGGTTTTACATTAATAACGTCTTGTTCTCAACCCACAGTGTTCTAGCCTTTCCCTGGGTGTTACCATTAAATACCCAGAGATAGAACTTTTCATAAGGGGCAATGATATAAAATTGTTCCACAAAGTGTACTATATGAACCACTTTTCACAGTTCAAATGAAATATTTTAAATATAAATATTGTAACTCCAGCAATGACCTATCTATACAAGGTGGGAGAGGATGGGATGAATGAAAACCCAGTTATATTGCCACGGGTCTCATCTGTAACCATTTAAATAGTTGGTTTTTCAAAATCTGCTTGCACATAACCCATGATTATAGGCCCTTCCTCTCCAAAACAAATAAACTATCAAAGAATAAAAAGATAAATTATAAGAAAGGAAAATATGTATAATTTACTACCATCAATCACTCCCCTTGCTCAAAAACTTGGCAAACATACAGGAAAAAGGATATAGAGTGGATACACTTTAATTTGCAAAGCTAATTGGGAGCAGATGAAATTTAAAAATATATAATAGAATGGGTATATATGATCCTAACATTTATGTGTGAAATGAATGTGTTAGGTTTTTTGATTAAGAAATCAGGACTGATATGAAATGGTAAACAATAACATTTATCAACAGGAGACCCCATTCACCGCGCTATTGCCAAATCCAAGAATTCCCAAATGTTACCTTCGTCCTCACCCCTCAATGAGTGGAAGAAATCAAATGATTATTATGGGTTGCACAGCCTTCAGTCCACATAAGCTTTAAGTTAATGCTCCTCAAGGCCATAGTTTTATTTGGTGTTCTTCTGGGGGTTTTACATGAAGGTCAAGGTTGCCCTTAACCATTTGGTGTAGTTTTTAGGGTGAGGGTAATATTTGCAATTCCTTTCATAGGGGACCAAGATAAAGTGCAAATACTTATAGGATAAATAACAAAATGATTTAAATTACACTATAAATTAAATGACTGATGTCAGTTCCTTCTTTGAGAACAGGATTTTATGATAGGAAATACTTTTGGGGCCTGAGGCACGGAAGAGGAGGGAGTCACCCCGAAACCAAAGCGTCAGCTTGTCAGCCCCGGGGTGGAATCCCCGTCACTTTCCAGTCAGACTTTGTCTTAAGCTTTACGACTTTTTCATGGGACGCCTTTCAGAATCCTTTACTCAGGCGTAGGGTACAGAAGAAACTGCACTGAAACGCAGAATTAAATCTTAAGTCCTTATGGATGCAGACAGATTTCCATTTAAAAATAAAGCCTATAAAGGAATATTTCAAACTTCCTTAAAAAAAGAGGAAAATAAACTGTACGTGAAATCTCTTACTCACATAAGCTTCGTGTGGACTAAAGTGTAGCAGCACAATCTCAGATGTGGGTGGAACCGCTCTACCGCTGGGAAAGATGCCCTTATGGAAGCGCCTACCGCGAATTCTGTCTGCCACCCAGTGGCCGCCGAGATAAATGGCTTCTTCCCTTTGTTGGCTATGGCCCTGTATTTTGCTTAAAAAAAAAAAATCGACAGAGGTAGATGATGCCAGACCAGCAACTGAAACCCATCAAGACAGAGGCCTCGATGGATCTGAAGACGCCACTGTAGTAAATGTTACATATCTTCCTTTCCGCTAGCCCACAGGGGCGCCCCGACGCGCAGCTGCACCCCCGGCCCGGGTTCAGATGCTGACGGGCACGGAGGACACCGAGCTGGCGCGGGACTCCCGGGTCACGTGGTTGGGCATGGCGAGGGTGCAGCACGACACGCCCACGGTGGCCTCGGGCAGCTCGTCGTCCTCCGTCCACTCGTTGAGCTCGGGGTGGAAGCACTGGACGCACTTCTTGTACTTCCTCTCGCCCTCGTTCCAGCCGCCGACCAGGTAGGCGCGGCCGTGCAGGGCCGAGGCGCCGGCCGTGCTCACGCCCGCGGGCAGCGGCGCGGCGTAGCTCCACTGGCCGGCGGCCGGGCTGAAGCTCTCCACCGTCAGCACGTCCACGCGCTCGCCGCGCGGCCCCAGCTGGCTGCCGCCCATCACGTACACGCGCTCGGCCAGCGCCACCGCGCAGTGCCAGCCCCGCGGCGTGCTCAGCGGCGGCAGCTCCTGCCACGCGTCGCGGGCCGGGTCGTAGGCGCACACGGAGCGCGAGTACGCGCCGCCGATGTAGCCGCCGGTCACCAGCACGCGGCCGTCCGCCACCGCGCTGGCGTGGCAGCAGCGCGCCACCTCCAGGGGCGTCTTGGGCTGCCACTGGTTGGTGGAGGGCACGTAGCACTCGAGCGAGGCCAGGCTGCCCTCGGCGTTGCGGCCGCCCACGGCGTAGAGGAGCCCGTTGAAGACGCTCAGGCTGAAGTGCGTGCGCTTCTGGGTCATGCCGGCCAGGTGGATCCAGGTGTTGAAGCGGGGATCGTACCTGGAAGTGGCAGAGGAAGCGTGACAGCCTCGGGGGCGGTAGCGGGGGAACCCACGTGATGCCCCCAACCGGAACGTGGGCGTCTCCGCAGTCTCCCTGCGAGGAGGCCGGGGACCCGGCGCAGCTTCTCACCTGGAGCCTGCGGATTCGCCCTCAACCAGGAAAAACGTGTTGGGAAAGGCCAGGCAGGCCTGGGTGACTCCCCCTCCTCCCGTTTATAAAACCCCTTCCTTGATCAGGCCACTTGGAGACCATCCCACAGAGACCGACCTCCAGTCCCCTTTTCCTCCATATTCCGCTATCCAGCGTCCCGTAGGATTTAGGGGATGCGCACGTGGGGGAGGGGTGGAAGCCATTGGTGGAATCAGAGAAGGGAGCACGGCCACATTAGTCTATTTCACAAATCTTCAAACACCAACTACCCCCAGCTCATTCTCACAGCTTAATTAAGATAAAAGTTGGCTAACTGGATTTCTCCATTTCTCAGAAACCCTTTCTGTTCATACACTTAGGGCCATTGCAACAGAAAAGCTAAGTCACTGAGTCTTCTATCATCTGTTTAGAGTGAGAGCAATAGGACTCATGTCCAAAGGCATCAACAAAGCCTTAACTTTTGATGTTTCTCTATTTTCTGGCACTTAGTAGCTGCGATTTCTTTAGTTTAGGGATGTATTTTTTTCAGTGTTCAACATTACAGTTATTGTACCGTAAGCACTGAAGTTAACACTGCAAAAAAGGTGGCTTGAGTACTAACAGTTGAGTTATCAGCAGGCGGACAGTAAGCACTCATTGTAAACTAATGCTTTCCTGTTTCCATAGTTCTGAGTATTGTAAACACAGAACAGACTGTCTGTTTGATGGTCATTCATGTTTTGGTCTCATTTGACCTCCACATCAAAATTTAACCATAGTTATAAGTTAAAGGCTAAAAATCAATTAATTGTTTGGATTCATTTAAATGATACACATACATATAATTTTTAATGATTTACTATGCAAAGTTTCAGATCTTGCTCATAAGTTATGTTTGATTTTGTGCTACTACCAAAATAGAAACATAACTTTCTGATCATTTTATGTTTTTGGAGGTTTAATTTTTATTGTAATATACAAAAATTACATGCATTTGAATTCCATTTTCTGCAGAATTTATTATGCTTTTAGTCTTTTTGAATGCATCAAAAATAGGAATGGGATTCAGTTTTAAATAAATGTTTTAAATTAATTTAGCTGTCACATTTTTAATGATCTTATTCTGTTTGCCAGTTATGAGTCTGACAGTCATCAGTAGCTGTCACTTAAAAAAAAACTTTGCATCATTTAAATCTTTCTTACTACTTAGTGGTAAAAACTAAATTTGCACCCAGTTTCTTTCAAAAAGGCAGTGGTATTATGAAGAGCACCCTGACTAGAAATGATGAAATGTGAATTCTACTTTCTAGTGATGTAACTTCTCTGGGTGTCAGATTTCTCACATGTAAAATCAGAATCACCGTACCTTCCCTACTCACTTCATAGGCTTATTCAGGAATGTAGAGTGCATAATATATGTGAATGCACTTGGTATAATGTGAAGTGCTCTGTATATGTAATGTGGCATTATTTTTATTGATTTACTAAGCCAGTGAACTAAGCTAATAGACATTGTTAATTTACTTCTATGTCAGGGCAATGTCCATAATATAGAACCATTTCCATTCCTAATAAAAGAGCCAGTACCTGCAGAAATTGCTGACTGCATGCTTGGCTTGATTTCTTGCATCATTCTGGTCTTCACCACCGGCTACATAAAGAAATCCATCCATCACAGCCACACACTGATTAAAACTCTTAGCTGGCATTTCCGTAAGCTTGCTCCATCCATTTTCAGGGTCTCTATACAAGACGTCTCTACTAAGGGACTTCTCAGTAAGGCCTGGACGGCCCCCCACAGTGACCAGGACACGACAGCCCCCACGGATTCTCGTGCGCCTAGACTGCAGTGTGTTTTGATGATAGGGAAGTAGGTGGTAGTTCATAGCATCTACAAGAAGCTTGTGACAATCAGCATCTTGCATCATTCTTGGTACCGACTGAACGTAATTGACCAGGTCTTGCGCAGAGATGGTACCAAAGCGAATATTGCTCAGAAGATCGGCTGCGTATTTCACTCTCTTTTGGTCAAATTCTAACCATTTCATTGCAATCTGGAATGCTACTATTTCAGAAGGCAACTGTAAGTCATCATCTATAAGAAGTTCATTAATTTGCTCAAATGTAAGTTTCAGAAACTGATCTGATTCAGCAAATTCAAGGAAGTTGTCCCGGATAAATTTTTGGGCTGCTGCCTTTGCATTTTTCAGGGAGTAGGTTTCGGCAATGTTAGCAATGTACATGCAATTCTCAACGCTCATCTCTCGTATCAGAAAATCACTGCACATCTTGACAAGGGTATGGATCTGAAGATAAACAGCAGCAGAAAGAATGCTTCCTATTGTGTACAAGGAGAGAGTCAGCTTTCCCGTGTAGGCATATGCAATGACCGTGGCCAGGCCCAGCGGTGCGATGTCATTGAGATCCACCCTTTGCGTCGAGGGGTCTCTTTTTAGGATGTTGTAAAAGTAGTCACTGCACGAAGCCATCACTGACTTGTGGACGTCAAAAGATTTGGTTTTGGTGCCAATGACTAAGTCGCAAAGGAAGCTCTCCTGCCTCATTTTACTTAAACCTTCCAAGAGGTTGGGGCCATAAGAAGCATCCGTCAACTCAGAAGAAATGCAGCTAAGGCCATTGCCTCCCTCCAGGAGCCCATTCAAAGCATTGAGTTTGCTGAGGGGGCTGTCCTCTACAATTATGGTCATCTCATTGATCTCGCTTTTGTTCTTTTTGACCGTCTTCTTTTTAGGGGCCATGTTGGCAGACACACTGTCACAGGCAAGAGCTTGCTAAAAAAAAAAAAAAAAAAGGGGGGCATGATTTTATTTTAATTGTGCTTTGGACTTTGAAATGCCACATTGAGAAACTTTCCTTTTATATAAGATAGTAGTCTTTTTGAATGCATTTTGAATACAAATTCTATTTACAAACCAAAAACAGACTCATAAACATAGAAAACAAACTATGGTCACCAAAGGAGAAAGGGTGGGGAGGAATAAATTAGGAACTGAGGATTAAGAGACACTCGTTACTATATATAAAATAGATAAACTACAAGGACCTACTGTATAGCACGGGGGACTCTATTCAATTTCTTGTAATAACATATAATGGAAAAGAATCTGAAAAGAAAACATATATGTATGTATATGTATCACTGAATCCCTTTGCTGTACACCTGAAATTAACATTGTAAGTCAACTACACTTCAATTAAAAATTAAAGATATAAAAAAAGATAGTAGGTTTTTAATGGCATAATGTAAGTTGGTTAATTCTCAAAGATGAGTTTAAAGATTTACATTAAACTAGATGCACGTCATATTGACGGTTTACTTCAGCATCAATTATTGAAGACAATTCTAGGCAGATGTATGTTATCAAATGGTACCTTTCAATAGCTGTGTTGCCAACTAATTTAATGCAGCAGAAATGACCAAATACTCTCTGATTTAGTGTGTACAGTGATTATGGAATAATAGTTAAAGATCCTTGGAAGGGCTTAGTTTACTTTCAGGAAAAAGTGAATTGTAACTTCTCTGAAGTTCTTCTCAGTAAAATATTGTAATACTAAAATTCAGGAATTCATGTTAAATGTAGACTATATATTAGAATAAATGCGGCTAACAGTTGATGGGTAATAATGTATTATTTCAAGTGATTTCTCCTCTACATAGTCACTAAAATAATTTCCTGATGAATGAAATATCTAAATGATTCACACGCACAAATTTACACAAGGACTGGAACAAAGCAGTTTTAAAAAAATCTTAGACTAAGAAAGACCCTCTTAAGCATAACATAAAATTCAGAAGCAATAAAGGAAGACTGAAATATCTGAATATTTAAAAAAAATGAAAACATATCTATAAAACAATACCAACTATTTAAAAGACAAGTATCAAACTACAAAGACAAATATTTGTAATGTTTTTGACAGATAAAAGGTTAAAGTGAAGTTAACACGACATATAAAGAGCTCCTACGATTAATAAGTAAAAAGTAATCTGACTAGAAAATGGGCAAACGCGATGACCAAGTCACTAGGCTGTTCACAGAAAATAAAAGACAAACAGTTAAATTTTTAAAAAGCTAAACTAATAATAATCAGGGAACGATCATCTGAAACCCAGGGATCCTTTTTGTGTGTGTGTGGTGGTCAAATTTTGCTTATCAAATGATTAAAATATTTTAAAATATTCAGAATGTCAGATATTGGTGTGGTACTCCGCATGCATTGTTGATGGGAGTGTAATTGATACAATCTTTTGAATAACAATTTAGCAGCCTAGCAAAAATAAAAACCATTTTTATGCTTTGACACTAAAGTTCTAAATCTACTAATGTACCTCTTAGAATATATTTTTATGGATGCTCACATATTAAGGACAGTAACAATTTCCTATTATTAAAGTTATAGATATTTGAACCAGTTTTTAAAACTATTTGAACTGCAGATTTAGCTCTATAATGTAGCTCTGAACAGCTCTAATATCAAATGTAGACTTGAAATATATTAAGTTTACCAAATAAATGCATAGCAGGTTACATTATTTTAGCCCTTAAAAACTGAACACAGTCATCAGAAGATGCTACACTGGGGCTTTCAAGTAGATGTTATCTGCCGCCATGATAGCGCTCACTTTTTTGTAAAATTACTGGTACTGGTTCTTTCCCCCCATTTTTTCTTTTCTTTTCTTTTTTTTTAATTTCACTAATTTAAAAAATTAAAGTATAGTGGATTTACAATGTTGTGTTCATTTCAGGTGTACAGCAAAGTGACTGAGTTATACATGCACACACATATATATTCTTTTTCAGATTCTTTTTCATTACAGGCTATTACAAGCTACTGAATATAGTTCCCTGTGCTATGCAGTAGGTCCTTGCTGGTTATCTATTTTATATATAGTAATGTGTATATGTTAATCCCAAACTCCTAATTTATTCCACCCTCCCACCCCTTTCCCCTTTGGTAACCATAGTTTGTTTTCTATGTCTGAGAGCCTATTTCTGGTTTGTAAATAAGTTCATTTGTACCTTTTTAAAAAACGATTCCACATATAAATGATATTATATGATATTTGTCTCTGTCTGACTTACTTTACTTAATATGATAATCTGTAGGTTGATCCATGTTGCTGCAAATGGCATTATTTCATTCTTTTTTATGGCTGAGCAGTATTCCACTGTATATATATAGTATATGGTAGCATTCACTTTCTTGTAAAATGACTGGTATTGCTTTTATTTCATTTTTTAAGTTGCAAAATCAGTACGTGTGATTCAGCAGTTCACAGTTTGCTATATATCATTCCACATAATTGTATATGCATGTATCTGCATAATTTGAGCAGTGGTGTGCTGGTAAACCAACTCTCTAGTGGGGGAAAAAGCTCTTATTTGTAAGGTGCTGATTTCTTTGGTACAAATACACTCATTGTGGTTGGTTTTAAGCTATCCACCACCAGCTCGCTAAATTCTTGAAAATGTAAATTGGTTCTCATGAGCCAGAACAAGTCAGCTCCAGCCCACCACTATCAGAGAACTAATATCAAGACAAGTTTATGCTACATTATTCAACAGTTTTCTTTTCTCACTTAGATGTTCTCATGTACATCTTCCCATGTCAGCACCGACATAAATTTACCTCATTCTCCATCATAGCTGCATAGAATCCCACGGTAAGAATATATAAAACTTAATCATTCTCTTGTTGATGGACATTGTTTAGGTGTTTTATAGATTTTGAGGGGGATGTGGGGTGTGGGTGGGGATGTGTGTGTGTGTGTTTGTTTTAAGTCTCACCGCTGAGCTCACCCTGAGGGGTAAAACTTAGCTTTGATCCCCCTTGAAGGTCTTCAGTGTATCTACTGGAATATATGTTTTTAAAAGTTCCATAGCTTCTCTATTGTGTTTGTTCCTGTTTCTTTCCATGTAGATGGAGAGTAGCAAATCAGTAGGAAACAGAGACGATCTGTCTCTTTGCCAGGGCTTTCGTCTTCCTCATTAAGCTCTAGTTGTCATGCTATCTCACATCACTTATATCTGTTTTATATATAAACTTATATACAGTTTACAAGACTGTAGCACCCATATCCTTCCTCATTCTTTCCTGGCAGCAAGCCCACATGCGTCCGTACCTTGTGAAATAGATTTTCAACCCACCATCATTTTAATCTTCAAATGCATTTGGCTTATGTGGTGAGTGTCCCCTTGTTGGATTTCTCTGGGAAAATATTTTAAAAATTTTGTTCAGCAGGTAGTTACCAGACACCTACTGCCATGTAGGCAGCAATGTCCTGGGAAGGATGGAGCAATATAACGTGTAATTTACGTTAGATAGATGAAAATGACAAGTACAAAATGAGAAAGTAGGAAAGTATAGCAGAGTAACTTAAAAAAAAAAAAAAGACCATCAGTTTCTACCACTAGGGGCACAAATGTGTTTTTGGAAGAAGCCCTGTCTGTTCTCCGGGAGGAACCCCCAGGGTCAGTTTTTGACTCACGTAGATACAGAGCTTGTAACCACTTACTGTATTGGAGGAAATCTTGAACCTGAGGAGTCATCTGAATGCTTCAGAATTTGATGCTGAATATTTGTTTATCCATTATTAAAAGAGCATTTCATTGGTAGCACATTGGGGTGGATATTTCAATGACTGATAAAACAGGTCACCTTCTACTTAGTATGGATTCATGCCCCAGCTCCGGGGCTGGGTTTCAGAGTCCCCCCCCCCCCCGGGACACTCTGTGCAAATCTTCAGTTGCTGGATCAGAGTGAGGTACAGGACGACCTGGGAGAGGGCTAGAGGGGTGGCAGGGATTCGGGGTGGGCCAAGGGGCCATTGGCCATTTTCCAATTCAGTATTTCCAATTAAATTCAGTAGAATTTCCAGTTTAAATACAGAGGGATCTCAGTATTTAACAACTGGAACTACACTGAAAAATACTTGTCCTAGGGACAGGGTGTCATTCTTCTGATGTTACTTTGATTTTAATTTTTTTTCTTTTTGGTTTGTTTCTTTTGTTGGAAATGAAAGTTTTTGGAGAAAAGAGAGGACCCAGCCTCAAAAATCTAATGATATGCTCGGGTGAAGGAGACAATTCCAAATAAAGGAGTGGCTAGTAGACTCTAAGAGCAACAATATCTGATATCCCTTTTTTAAAAAATGTATTATTATTATTTTTTTTTATTTTGAGGGCAGGAGGTAATTACGTTTATTTATTTTTAGAGGAGACACTGGGGATTGAACCTAGGACCTTGTGCATGACTAAGCATGCACTCTACCAGCTGAGCTATACCCTCACCCATGTCTGATATCCAGTTTAAAATCTCCTTTTTCTACTTTGTAATTCTCTTATATTGTCCTTAATTGAGGTATTCTCCAGCATCCTTAATAAAGTTTGATAAATCACCAAGTAGCTCACTCTTTGCCTTTAGGAAGTTCACGTAGTAGAGTTGTGAAGACCTCAGCCTTTGAAGAAGACTGCCTGGGTTTAAGTAGTAGCTCATGACTCCACCACTGGTGAAAAAGCCAAGTGAAGTTCCTATCTGACAGATGGTCCCAAAGATAGAACCTATAAGCGGGGGTGGGGTGGTGGCAAGAATGGGGAGAAAAATAGGGAAAACTATCCAGAGATGCTAGGGAGTTTAAAAAAAAATGATGGCTTTGTAACAGAGTCAAGAGTTGGAAAAAAGGAGCAGCGATGTGTTTCCCCCCTTCCACCTCCTTTCGGGGGGAGATGTGGCTTTCTGGCTATGAGTAGGCTGCCCTTGGTACCGCACAGGGCAGCTCCATCTCCAGCAGAAAGCGCTGCTGCATTGACGGACCAGAGCACAGAGCTTGTGGCAACTACACCCACTGCAAAGTGAGGTGGGAATTCTGGAAAAGAAAGAACCTAAAAGAAGGAGCCCAGGATAAGCTTAAATCATCAGGAAGGAATGAAGAGCATCAGAGATGATAACCATAAAGAATAATTTTTTCTATAAAGCTCTTTAAAATACGTTTGACTCTTCAAAGCAAAAATGGTAACACTGTCCCGTGGGTTCATAATGTATGCAGATGCATGCGTAAGACAGTTATAGCATAGAGGAGGCGGTGATGGCGCTAAATGAATCTATACAGTTGCAAGTTTTCTGCATTTTAGGTGAAGTGGTACAATAACTTACATAGCCTGTAAAAATTTAGCTTTGTGTATTGTAACCTCTAGCGTAGTGCTGTCCAATCCAACAGAGATATAATATGAGCCACGTGAGCAGTTAAAAAATTTCCAGTAGCCACATTAAAAAGGTAAAAAGAAACAGATGAAGTTAATGTTAATAATATACCTTATTCAACCTAATATATACAAAATATCATTTCAACATATAACTGCAATAAAATTATTAATGTGATATTTTACATTCCTTTTTTTCATACTAAGTCTTCGAAATCCAGGGTGTATTTTATGCTTGCAGCACGTCTCATTTTGTACTTGCCACATTTCTAGTGTTTAATAGCCACATGTGACGGATGACTATAGTATTGGACAGCAGAGCTCCAGAGCAACCACGTAAAGAATGCAAAGTAGAGCTGAAAAACCAATAGGTTAAATGTAAATGCATTCAAAAGACAGCAGGGAAGTTGGAACAGAGGAACAAAAATTAGAGGGGACAAACAGAAAACAAATAATTTAATGGTAACCTAAATTCAACTATATTCATCATTATATGAAATGTTAATGGATGAAATATTCTAATTAAAAGGCACAGATTGTCAGAAGGGATAAGAAAAGCAAAACCCAAATACATACAACCCACAAGAGACTGATTAAAATATAAAGACGCAGATAGGTAAAAAATAATTGGTAGAAAAAGATTTACTGTGAAAATAGCAGACTTAAAAAGACTGGAGTGGCGATATTAACAGGAGATAAATATTCAAGAAAAAAAAACTGATGATAAGGAGGGAATTTCACAATGTTACAAAGGCCAATCCCTTATGAAGATGTAACAGTTAAATGTGTTTGTGTAAATAACAGAGCTTCGAAATATGTGACGCAGCAAGTGACAGAACTAAAGGGAGAAATAGGCAATGCCTCAGTTATATTGGAAAATTATAACTTTCCCAGCAACTGATTGAACAGCTAGACAAAAAATCAATAAAGGTAGAGTTCATCTGAACATTATGAATCACCCTGACTTAACTGATATTTCTAGAACGTTACATCCAACAACTGCAGAATAGAAATTCTTCTTGCGTATACATGGTGCATCACCAAGACAGAGCCTCTGCAGGGCCCCAAATATGTCTCAGTCCATTTAAAAGCACTCATCTCATACAGAATATGTTCTCCGACCATAGTGGAACTGAAGTAGAATTTAATATCAATAAACTATCCAGGAAAGCCACCAATATTTGGAAATTAAACAATATGATTCTAAATAATCCATGAGTCAAAGAAGAAATCTCAAGGGAAATCAGATAGATAGGATTTCAAACAGAATAATAATGAAAATACAACAAGATGTGACTTTCCATAGACTGCTAACCTCTTAGAGTCTCCACTGACTTACCTCTAAAGTAAAGGTCATAATGGTGCCTGCCTGTAGGTTGTCCATGAAAGCTTAGTGAGATAAATGTCTGTACAGTATTTAGGATCTTGCCTAAAGTGAATGTGCGAAAATTATGAATTATTTTCAATAAAATCAACAACTCCTTGTTAGCTGTGTCTTTGGGAATAAAGGAAGCAACCCATTTAAGGTGAAGCCCATTACCTTTACAAAGTGATTTTGGGGTGAAGCCAATCAGTGGAAGCTGCCACCAATGGAACTGCAGTCATGAGAATCAGGAGGTGACCTGGGACAGGCCAGCAGCAGCCAGGAGAGATTTCTGGAGTATGTAAACATTTCTAAGGGATTTTTGAAAACGCCAGGGAGACGAGTGGAATTCATGCAATCACATAGGCTGAAGAACAGATTATTTTTAACTTCGATTTGAATGATAAGAGTAAACCTGGAAATTTAGAAACCTTGGTTTTTAAAAAAAATTGGGGGGGCAGGGGGTAATTAGATTTATTTATTTATTTTTAGAGGAGATACTGGGGATCGAACCAGGGACCCCGGGCATGCTAAGCATGCACTCTACCTCTTGAGCTATACCTCACCCCCTGCAGGACATTGATTATATAAGCAAAACAACAGATTATCTGAAACACATTGAATCTGTGAGCCTGGATTTAAGAATCCTAATTGAGGAACTGTTTTGCTAGGGTAGAGAGAGGATGGGAAGGTTTGCAGGTAACAAGAATCTTGCTGGTTTCAGTAAAGAAAGGTTTTTAAGAGGTGTAGGTACCGGAGGCGGAAGGCCTTTAAAGCAGGGGAAATGCCTCTTGTGTGACTCGGCATGGGAGGCGCAGACTGGCTGGAGGTGAGGGGGACAGGTGGGCAGGGAACATGAGGCCAATGCATAAAGGATGCTGGATGCCAGGAAGGGCTTGAACTTGGTAAGTCAGTGTGCAGTCGAGAAGGATTAAGAAAT